GAGTCTCTTGTAGACATCAAATAGATGGGTCTTGATTTTTTTATCCATTCTGAGACCCTATGTCTTTTGGTTGGAGCATTTAGTCCATTTACACTCAGTGTTATTATTGAAAGATATGAGTTTAGAGTCAGTGTGATGTCTGTATGTTTCATGCTTGTAGTGATGTCTCTGGTACTTTGTGGTCCTTGCAACATTTAACTCACAGAATCCCCTTTAGGATCTCTTGTAGTGCTGGTTTACTGGTAATGAATTCCTTCAGTTTTTGTTTGGGAAGACCTTTATCTCTCCTTCTATTCTGAATGACAGACTTGATGGATAAAGGATTTTCGGCTGCATATTTTTCCTGTTCGCCACATTGAAGATTTCCTGCCATTCCTTTCTGGCCTGCCAAGTTTCAGTAGATAGGTCTGCCACTAGTTTTATGTCTCCCTTTATATGTTAGAGCGTGTTTATCCCTAGCTGTTTTCAGAATTTTTTCTTTATCCTTGTATTTTGCCAGTTTCACTATGATATGTTGTGCAGAAGATTGGTTCAAGTTATGTCTGAAGGGAGTTTTCTGTGCCTCTTGGATTTCAATGCATTTTTTTTCCCCTAGATCAGGTAAGTTCTCAGCTCTGATTTGTTAAAGTACACCTTCAGCCCCTTTCTCTGTCTCTTCATCTTCTGGAATTCCTATTATACGGATATTGTTCCATTTGATTGCATAACTTAGTTCTCTAATTCTCCCCTCATACTCCTGGATTTTTTTATCTCTCTTTTTTTCAGCTTCTTCTTTTTCCATAATTTTATATTCAAATTCACCTATTCTCTCCTCTGCTTCTTTAATCCATGCTATGGCCACCTCCATTTTATTTTGCACCTCATTTATAGCATTTTTTTGCTCCTCATGACTATTTCTTAGTCCCTTGATCTCTGTAGGAACAGATTGTCTGCTGTCCTCTATGCTTTTTTCAAGTCCAGTGATTAATTTTATGACTATTATTCTAAATTCTTTGTCTGTTGTATTGCTTAAATCGTTTTTGATCAATTTGTTAGCTGTCGCTACTTCCTGGAGTTTCTTTTGAGGAGAGTTCTTCTGTTTCATCATTTTGGGTAGTCCCTAGGGTGGCTCTAAACTGCAGTACACTTTCCATGTTGTCCAGAGTCACTTGTTTTGGTGGGCAGGGCCACAGTCAGACCCGATGTCTGCACCCAGCCCACCGCTGGGGCCACAGTCAGACTGGTGTGTACGTTATCTTCCCCTCCCCCAGGGGCAGGACTCACTGTAGAGTGGTGTGGCCCCTTTCTGGGCTAGTTGCATACTGCCAGGCTTGTGGTGCTGCTTTGATGGGATCTGGTGTATTAGCTGGGGTGGATCTGCAAGGTGCACAGGGGTGGGAGGGGCAAGCTTAGCTGGCTTTGCCATTGGTGGACCCCTGCTGTAGGGGTCCTGCAGCACCGGAAGGGAGGCAGACCCATCAGAGGGATGGATGCACAGAAGAACAGCATTGGGTGTTTGCGTGGTGCAAGCAAGTTGGGTGATGAGAACTGGTTCCCTTTGGGATTTTTCCTTGGGGGTGGGAGAAGGAAATGGTGCTTGCAAGAGCCTTTGTTCCCTGCTGACCTGAGCTCTGTCTTCCCAGTGTCCTCTTGCTCTCCCCACTCTCCAAGGGCAGAGGTGTTCACTTTTAACATTCCAGATGTTAAGTCCCGCTGGCTGTCAGAACTCACACAGTTGGGCCCCTCTGCTTTTGCATGCCAGACTCGGGGGCTCTGCCTTGTCAGGTGGGCTGCCCCTCCACTGCCCTGGCTCCCTCCTGTCAGTCCGTGTAGGGCGCACCACCTCTCCACCCTTCCTACCCTCTTCTGTGAGCCTCTTGTCTATGCTTGGCTCCAGAGAGTTGGTTCTGTTAGTCTTTTGGTGGTTTTCTGGGTTATTTAGTCCGATGTGGGTGGAGTCTAAGTGATCAGCAGGATGCAGTTAGCCCAGTGTCCTCCTACACCGCCATCTTCCGTGTTTTCTACCTATTGTTGAGTATTTTAGTATCAATTGTTATGATTGCAGTTATTACTGAATAGATAGTAAACTCATAGATAATTAGTATATTTCCCACCTTCCAACTGATGATCAAATTCCCACCCAAAAGCCAGACATCTTCATTCTGCCTCCTATGGGTCTCAATTTCCCTTTACATAAAATGATGGAGTGGAGCTGAATGTTCTCACAGGTTCATTCAAGCTCGGGCATTCTGTAATTTTCTAAGTTGCTTCTAAACATAAATATTTCATTTCAAATAAGCAGTGTAAAAAAACAGTAAGAAGTTAAACACAAAATTTGGAGGAGCGCTTACCTTTGGCAGGGAAGCAGAAATATAGGAAAAAGAATGGACACATAAAAAATGCAAATTGTTGATAATGTTTTAGTTCTCGAGTTGCAAGGTGGGTTCACTGACATTTATATTATTATTATTTGTAATTTACACATGTGTCACATTGTTTTACATTTTAAATATTTTTAAAAAGTTAATAATGGAAAAACACACACAATAGACTTTGGATATTCCATTTGGCACTAAGAAGCAAATTATTTAGAATTAGGATGTGCTACATGAGTATGTACAACATACTTCTTTTAATTAATACTGATGAGAGAGGAGAAAATGATGTGTCCACATTGCTCAGAGTGTTCAAAACTAGCTCAAAAGTGTTATTTCTTTATGAGATAGGAATCTTGTATTTTCCTCATTTTTCGAATATAACAAACCAAAATCCAGAAAAGTAACTGATTTGTAATTCATGCAATAAGTCATTCCTAAGCTAGAAAATAGAAACACTGGATACCCAAAATATTTCTGTTCACAATGATGTTATTTATCCTTAATAAGTTAAACATCTTAATGGGTTGGTTCTTGATTTATTCTGAACATCATTCTAGTCTGCTTTTTTGATCAGTCAGCTGTAATAGATCAAAACCAACCATCCATATACACCAGTAAGAAATCAATTCAAGATAGAACAAGGTTTACAGTGGAGCCTTTACAGCCTTCTTTCCTGGTAGAACACTTGGACATTTATACTGAATTGTGGCTTTCAAAACTGTCAAATGAGAGATTGTGTCTATGTAGGGGCAGGTGATTTCTCTTCTGAGAGTCTGTAAAGTGACTTTCAAACAACAGCAATAAATGATGCCTTCTGAATGCACATGTAAAAATGAACCAATGATGAATTTGGGCTCTCACTGAGAGCATAAAGAAAAGAGCAGAGGGTTGCAATAAGTCTTTACAGTTCTGAGGAATTATGTAAGAAACAAAATTATCCAAAGACTCTTCCTCTATAACACTTTTGTTTTCAAAGTTACTGAACTAAAACTAGTGAAATTTATTTTACTAAGTTAATGCTTCTTTTTCTAGTACAATGCATGGATTTTAACAGACAAACTAATGGAATATAGCTGATCCTGATTGAATTAGAAGCTATCACATATATAAAATTAGGATCACTGAGAATTGTAGTGCTATAAAATAATTATATTTATTGGCAGCTTTATCCAGTCCACTTTATACTCATATAGTATAGATGACATAGTTTTTTGTCACTGTACTAAATTAAATTCAATTGTTACATCCCTAAAAATGAAACAATTCAATCCAAGTGAATATGCATTAAGAATTTGGGTTGTGAGTCCATTACTATTAATATATTTAATATATCTTTTTGAAAATACCCTATTCCCATTTATTTCTGTCACCAGCAATTGTATCTTTACCAAATGGCTACATAGCACTGACTCCACAGAAAAGACAACTAAACCACAATAAGGGGTAAATGAAAATATTCTGGTTAGTTGGTCATCATACATTATCCATATCCTACTCCTTCATGTTACAGATAAGAGAAACAAATTCTAATTTGTGCTTATAGTAACAGCCCATTTCAGCTGAAACTTTTTTTTGTTTCTTAATTTTATTTTTTTTATATTTACATCCAAATTAGCATATAGTGCAACAATGATTTAAGGAGTAGATTCCTTAATGCCCCTTACCCATTTAGCCCAACCCCCTCCCACAACCCCTCCAGTAACCCTCTGTTTGTTCTCTATATGTAAGAGTCTTATGCTTTGTCCCTCTCCCTATGTTTATATTTTGGTTTTCCTTCCCTTAAGTTCATCTGTTTTGTCTCTTAAAGTCCTCTTATGAGTGAAGCCATATGATATTTGTCTTTCTCTGACTAATTTCACTTAACATAATACCCTCCAGTTCCATCCATGTAGTTGCAAATGACAAGATTTCTTTCCTTTTGATTGCTGAGTAATACTTCATTGTATATATATATACTACATCTTCTTTATCCATTCATCCATTGATAGACATTTGGGTTCTTTCCATACTTTCGCTATTGTTGATAGTGCTGCTATAAACATGGGGGTGTAGATGTTCCTTCAAACAGCGCACCTGTATCCCTTGGATAAATGCTTAGTAGTGCAATTGCTAGGTTGTAGGGTAGTTCTATTTTTAATTTTTTCAGGATCCTCCATACTGTTTTCCAGAGTGGCTGCACCAGCTTTCACTCCCACCAACAACGCAAAAGAGATCCTCTTTCTTCACATCCTCACCAACATCTGTTGTTGCCTGAATTGTTAATGTTAGACATTTTGACAGGTGTAATGTGATATCTCATAGTGGTTTTGATTTCTATTTCCCTGATGCTGAGTGAAGATGAGCATTTTTTCATGTCTCAGATGGCCATCTGGATGTCTTCTTTGGAGAAGTGTCTATTCATGTCTTTTGCCCATTTCTTCACTGGATTATTTGTTTTTTGGGGTGTTGAGTTTGATTACCTCTTTATAGATTTTGGATACTAACCCTTTATTTGATATGTTGTTTGTAAATATCTTCTCCCATTCTTTCGGTTCCCTTTTAGTTTTGCTGATTGTTTCCTTAGCAGTGCAGAAGCTTTTTATTTTGATGAGGTTTAAGTAGTTCATTTTTAGTGAAACTTTTTAAATGATCTTTTTTTCCCCTCGCATGCTCGGCTCTCCAAGGTTTGCTCCCCAGTGCACATTCAGGAGTTGACATTACCAAGGTGTTATCATCCACTGAATTGCTACTTTTTAGATGGAGGAAACAGATTCATACAGATGAGGGTTAAATATCATACTATCACATAGTGGTTGAACTGCTAAAAACTGTTTTTGTTCATCAATCAAAAAGGTAGGTAGAGAGGTATGTCTGCACTAAAGCACAGGGGCAGGATAAGGATCAGCTGAAATTGGAATCTGGGGTAGATTTTACAGGGATATTAAAGAGGTACCTCTCCTGAGAGAGAAAAACAATCTCCATTCTTAAAATAAATTGCCCCTCACATATGTGAAAATTAGAATTTAGTAAGTATATTTTGCATCCATAATGGTCTCTGATTTTCCCAACATGAAATCATGAAATAAGGATATAAAACTGCTTTGAAACAAAAAGTTCTGTATGATCTATGTAACTATATTATTGTAATTATACAGAAAAATCTTACTAAAACCTTTTCTTTCCACATATATTTCCCAGAATTACCTTAAAAATTAAGAAAAAAAAGATGGTCACAAGGCCTAATTCACTTAAATGAACTATCTGCGTACACTATCCATTTTATTAAATTATCATCACAGCTACTGGGTGTTTACAATAAAAAATGCCTAGTAGTTGCCTAGCATTAACTTTTCAAAGCATGTTTGGATCCATTATTTTATTTTATCTTCACAACAGCTCTATGAGTGTCTCCAAGTAATGGACTATGTCTAATTCTCCTTAACAGCCATGCCACAGAGAAAGCAAAGAAGAATAGATGGATTGGGTGGATCTATAAATGAATAAAGATAAAAATAACAAATATGTCATTTATTTTAGGGTATTTTTGGCAATATATCTATAATGTCTCCAATTCTATATTGTAATGATATCTTAGATGGCTAAGAATACAATCTCACCCTTATTCTTCCTTAGTATTATAGTTCTAAGATTGTTTCTTTACTGTCTTATATTGCATTCATACTTTCAGAAAGATCCTAATTCAGTATAGTTTGTATAACTAAATTCAACTAAGACATGATGAGATTCTCTGAGCACTTCTAGAAATAGGTGAAAGAAATGTAGACATGACTACATTTGTTCTTTTTTTTTTTTTTTTTTTGCTTATTTACTGACCATCCTAATAGGGTATTTTGGGACTTTATTTTATTTGAGCCTCTTTTATATTCAATATAATGACTTTTCCCGGATTTCCAAAGACTCCATTCCAATAATTAATTGGCTTTTGCTTTTGGGATATCTAGGCCCCCATTGGTGTGGTTTATGTTGTTCCACTTTCTTCTAGATTTATATATACTGACCAACACGCCCACTGTCTTCTATTTATTATGACACATGCTATCAAAATTATTAGCATCACATCAACATATCTTATACTCTAAAGGGAAGGTTAAGATAAGTGAGTAGTATGAGAACCCTATGCTTGCCTCGTCCCTTGAACATAGCTAGATAAATATCAATCATTATGAACACCCAAGGAATCAATCTGAAGATTGACAAAACAAATTGCAAAACTAGAGGGAGTTGGGGGCCACGTCATGGAAGGTAGGAGGCACTGAGATGTGTGATTTGGGGGAGAAAAGGATGATGGGTGCTGCAGAGGGGAAGGAACCATGATCATGGAGAAAGGGGATGTGGGGAGAGAGAGAAAGAGAGAGACAGAAAGAGAAGAGCACAGGGAAAACACTTCTCCAAAGCTATTGACTGGGAAAAGAAGGGTTGATAATCATGAGATTTTATATATTTAATTTTTTCAGTTTATTTATTTTGAGAAAGAGAGAGAGGGAGAGAGAATAAGTGTGAGTGGGAGAGGAGCAGAGAGAGAGGAAGAGAGAGAATCCCAAGCAGGCTCCATGCTGTCACACAGAGCCTGATGTTGGGCTCAATCTCATGAATCATGAGATCATGATGTAGCTGAAATCAAGAGTTGAATGTTTAACTGACTGAGCTACCCAGGCACCCCTATCATGAGATTTTAAAACCCATTGACTTCAAATACTGGAGTTTCAGAAGTCTGTGCCATGACTGGTGTTGAACCTAGCAGATGCTGCATTGCTTCTGTGAAGGAAGAGGCCCAAGAGCATGGCATGATCTAAGGATCCCCTGGGATACATTAGGAGAGACAGTTTGCCCTTCTTGGAATCTGGGATAGGTGGTATTGCCTTTGAGGGGAAAAAGAGCCAGTGGGTACCAACTGTGCTCCAAGCCCCTTAAGCATAGATGTTAAGACACCTGCTGGGGTAGCTAACATGGACTCAGGCTTTTTGCCACACTTTAAACTCCAACCTGCTGTGCGTTGGTGTGACTGGCCTTTTGAGACAAACTGGAACCAGCCTTAGCAGGGTAAAACCCACCCCTAGAAGACCATCATAGGCCCTTGCTACAACCAGGTCCTGAAATTTTGAAGTTTTGAAACCCAACCAGCACACCTGAAATAAAACACAGGTGTATCATGCTGCCAGGTGAGGAGATGGCTCAGACATAGAAAGGGTGAAGGCAGGAATTTAAGGGATACTTGGGACACATGAGGGGAGATTGTTCGCTCTTTTGTGAAGGCTTCCTAGACAATGTCAGGCATTAACTCACCTTTCTAGTGACTAGGGAGAAGACTGGCCCCATTTTTCTCCCTTGCCCATCAGCACAGACTGACTTCAGAGAGCAGAACAGCATCAACACTGGAAGCCTGAGCTGCTTACACCAATCCCCACCCCCTGCATTGCACAAGTGCTTCTTTACCAAGGCAACTGTGCCTGAGTGCCAGAGCAGTGGGCCCCTTCCCGATAAGACCAGCACAAACTTCCCACATATATCATGTCTACTGACCATAGAGTGCTGCAAAGATTAAGCTCTAATGGAAAGAAAATCAGGCCTCTTTTAACAAAAAGACTAGATAAAATCTAGTTAATACTCACCCCACTCTGGACAAAGTCCAAATACTCCACACTGCAGGCAAGGAGAATCTCTGCAGAAGACTTGCCTGAGGGAAAGAGCACCCAAAACACAGAAGCAGAGTGTACACAGAATACACCAGAGACACTTCCTGAAACACCAGGTCCTGGAGAGTATATGACCTTTTCTTCATAAAGCAACTACTCTAAGGAGCAGGACACATAACAGGTTTTCCTAACACAGAAAAGAAACAGAGACTTGGACAAAATAACAAGATGGAGAAATTCATCTCCCAAAAATGAACAGGAAAAGGTCATGTTCAATGATCTAATTGAACATATATAAATAATAAGCTTGATCCAGAATTTAAAATCACAATCATAAGGGACTGAGAATCATCTGGGACTGAGAAAGCCATAGAAGACGGCAGGTAGTCTCTTACCACAGACATAAAAGACCTAAAAACTAGTCAGACCTAAATAAAAAAATGTTGTAACTGGGATCCAAAACTAACTGGATGAAATGGCCAAAACGATAGAAGAAACAGGAGAATGAATAAGTGATATAGAAGATAAAATTATGGAAAATAATGAAGCTGAAAAGAAAGAAATAAAAATATTGCATTGCAATGTAGACTTAGGCAACTCAGTGGCTCCAAAAAGCATAATAACAATTATATCAGAGGAGTCCCAGAAGAAGAGAGGATAAAAGGGGTGGAAAATTTATTTGAGCAAATTATAGCCAAAAACTACCCTAAACTGGGGGAGGAAACAGACATCCAAATCCAGGAGGCACAGAGAACTCCCATCAAAATCAATAAAAGCAGGCCAACACTGAGACATATCATACTAAAATTTGCAAACTAAACAGATAAGGAAAAAATCCTAAAAGCAGCAAGGGGACAGAAATCCCTAATTTACAATGGAATACAAATGAGAACAGCAGCAGATGCCACCACAGAAACTTGGTGGATGAGAAGGGAATGGCATGATATAGTCAACGTGCTGAATAGGAAAAATATACAGCCAAGAATACTCTATCCAACAAGGCTATCATGCATAATAGAAGGAGAGATAAAGAGTTTCTAGGAAAAACAAAAACTAAAGGAGTTCATGACCATTACTGCAATAAATATTAAAGAATATTCCCTGAAGGGGAAAGAAATATCAAAAGTGACAAAGACTAGAAAGGACCAGAGAAAATCTCCAGAAAGAATGACTTAACAAGTAATACAATGGCATTCAATTCATGGATGTAAATGGACTAAATGCTCCAATAAAAAGAATTAGGGTATCAGAATGGATTTTAAAAAAGACCCATCTATATACTACCTAGAAGAGACTCACTTGATATATAAAAAACATGCATATTAAAAGATAGTGGATGGAGAAACATTTAACATGCAAATAGATGTCAAAAGAAAGCTAGTGTAGCAATACTTATACCAGACAAACTAGATTTTTAAATAAAAATCTGTAACAAGAGATGAAAAAGGGTACTACATCATAATAAAGGGGCCTATCCAACAAGATCTTACAATTTTAAATATTTATGTCCCCAACTTGAATGCCCAAACATATAAATCAATTAATAACAAACTGAAAGGAATTCTTTGATAATAATTCAATATTAGTATGAACCTTACCACTCCATTTAGAGCAATGGCACATCATCTAAGCAGAAAGTCTACAAGGAAAAAATGATTTTTAACGACACACTGGACCATATGGACTTCACAGATATATTCAGAACATTCCATCCTAAATCAACAGAATACACATTATTTTTGAATGCACATGGTACATTCTCCAGAATAGATCACATACTGAGTCACAAATTAGGCCTCAATAAATACAAAAAGATTTACATCATACCATTCATATTTTCAGACCACAACACTATGAATCTTTTAAGTCAGCTACAAGAAACAATTTGGAAAGACCACAAATACATGGAGGTTAAACAGCATCCTATTAAAGAATGAATGGGTAAACCAGGCGTTAAAGAAGAAATGTAAAAAAAATACATGAAAACCAATGAAAATGAACACACATGGTCCAAAATCTTTGGGATGCAGCAAGAACAGTTCCAAGAGGGAAGCATATAGCAATACAGGCCTATCACAAGAAACAA